AAATGTGCTTTACACAATTGATGTATGTATGGATTGTGATAAGAGTTGTATGAGCCCCTAATAAAACGACTAAAAAGAAAAAAGATTCACAGTCTTGGAAACCCTATATGGGATCACTAGGAGTCAGAATCAACTCGATTTCAGTGGGTTGTGTTTGGTATGTGACACACATCTTATGTACATGTACAAACAAGCATGTATCTATACACACATGTATTTAAATCTTATTTTTGTTCCCTGCATTAAAACTAGCAAACTAAACAAAAACCGCACTAACCTAAATACTTTTCCAGGCAGTTTTCCACACTGTTAGTGGCACTCACTAACTTCTGCCCTGTGCCAGCAAGCCACGGTCAGAGATCCCAGACCTCCTGCCCCTTTGCATTGCCCTCCACTCCTTCAGTCCCAACTCTTTGGCCACATCATTGCTTGCGAAGGCCCTCCAGCAGAGCATGCGCAAGATGAGTGGAAGTCACGGGCACTCAATGACCACTTACGCTACTTTGTTTTACACTCTGGATCCAACACGAGTGAGCATGCCACTCGTTTTCCACGTTGTTCTTGCACCCTTCATAGGATGAGCAAGCGCTGGCTCTGCTCGCCAAGTCTGAGGAAAGCCCTTTCTCTCTCAAATACCTGGGCATTTTTCATTTGGAGAATTATTGCACCATTCTTCAACTTGTAATTGTTATGGTCAATTCCCTCATTAGACCAAAAGTTCCTTGTGGGCAGGGATGTTGTATGGGTTGCAGTGAAATTAAATTCCTGACTCATGTTTCCCTTTTCCCTGTAAAATCTCCGTTTTGTTTTTGGGTGATATTTTTTGTTTGTTTGTTCATGTACTATTCAGCCTGTGTTCTCATTTATTCAGTGAACCGCCTTTATATCATATTTAAAGTTTTTAATTTTTAAAATTCATTTTAGATATCTGTCCTCTAACTATGATCATCTTTAACTCAGCAAAAAATAAAAAATAACAAATTCTCATAACACTGAGGATTTTCTCTGACCTAATGGTTTAATTATTTTAAAAAATTTACATTGTTTAGTGCATTATTTTAAATAGTAGCAGCCTCCCTCCTCATCTCTGCAGAAGATTTTGAGGCCCAGAAGGGATGTTAGAATATTCACGAAGCCCTTTGATGATTTACTCTTATTTATATATATTCAAACTTTGGTTCTTTCAAAAAATATCTTATTTCCTAATAAAAGTAGTGTTTGAGATCACATTTAAATTCTGTTCTAATATCAACGAATAGTATAGTTTCTGCTTCCAGTGATGTATTATTTAAATAGAAAACCATTCAATATTATAGAATAAATTTTGTAGTGTGTCTTTAAAATTTAAACATAGCATTAAGCCAGGGGTGAGAAGTCACTTTTAAATTAAGGTAAGCATATGACTCCTTTTCTTTGAAAGGACGGGAATGAACGATTAGTTTATTTGTGAGATTTTAATGATCCTATAATCAGCTACTGCGCCCTAGACCCTCAGATAAAGTCTCCCTAGAATGTGAAAACAGCCTCCTTTGCTATAGCAATAGAATGTGGATTAATACAGACACAGGATGGATTTATATCCACCAACCCCTGGATTTTAGAAGACAATGTGCTCTCTCCAGACCTTCTCTCTCAGTGGTGCCCAAGAGCCTGGGATCCCAAGACAGCTGAGCAGGAGCTCTGGCGGGGGTCTCTGCCCGGCTTCATTTGTCGGCAGGGTAGGGTGGGAAATACACTTGATTTCCTAGAAGCCCACAGGTAGTTTACTGTGTGGCTTCACATTTGCAGTTCATGTATCAAGTCCTTTTCCAGCCTCTCTTCCCAGTCGGAAGACCTCATCATAGAGCAGGTCTAGTTTCCGAGGCCAAAGTACCGTCGAAACGTTTTTTTGCCAATGGATTGTCATTGTCCCAACCTAAGGAATGCCTTTGGAGCAACTAAAGTAGTAAAACTTCCGTTCAGAAAGTTGAACTGGAAACGTGGAACATCTTGTTGTTCTTTATGGTCATTTGGATGGAAACCACTGCATTTGGGAAGCTGTTGTTTGAGCCAGGTTCTGTGTTTGTTTATGTTTATCTCCTGTCTCACCAAGAGTGTACTTCTGATTTGTTACAGGGTTTCTTCAAGCAAGAACTAACTTTCATTAGCACATTCCTCGCAACTGTCCAAAATAAGCCACTTTTCTTTTATTGTTCTAAAAGAAGACGCCAGAGTCACAAGTGTAAGATGATGGAGTAGTATTGCACTACAGGTATCCACACCCCTCACCCTGCAGCACAGAGGCCACGTGATTCCTGTTCCTCCAACAAAACACCACGAGGCAGGAGCTCACTTTCATTTGGTGGCAGAGGAAAGGATCCATTTTGAATAATTTACATTGGGTGTCTATTCTGGTTCAAGCTAGAGAATGAATGTTAAATAATAAAAGTGGTCATAATTGCTGTGTGGAAGACTGGTGCTGTGAACTCCATCCAGAGAGCCATAAACTCCACTCTGCGGCATATTAATAAACGCCGCTGTAGCAGAAAATGCTAGAACTAGAATGCCTGCAGCAGCGCTTCTTGTGGAATTTGATTCTCCCAGGGTGTAAGCATTGTGTTCCCCTTAGGAAGCTACAGTTAGCGCCTGTTGGAACACAATTAAGGAGCTGCGATTAACAAGCAGAAACGCACAAACACAGCTGCTTTCAGGGCCCACAGTTAGTGAAAGTGGGAGATGGTAGTCTATATTTTCTTCTTGGAAGTCTTTAGAATGTAATTTTTGCTTCTAGAAAATACCTTTTTCAGTCATGAGTTGAGATTCTTTCATCAGAACTAAGAAAACCAGGTCTAGGTGAAGCCATATATTCCAACAACTAAAACTAAGCTTATTGATTTGCTACTTCAGGCGGAGAGAGAATATGAGGCAGAGCCATAAGCCTCCCGAATATAGGATTGCGATGGTGGAGAGGGTGTAGCTGCAATTCTCTCAGGAGCATGTGCGGGGGGGTGGGGGGGAGATCTGTCTCACAGGTTACAGTGGAGGTACCTTCTCCCTGTGCATTTGTTCAGGATTGTAAGAAGGTGACAAATGATTTTAAAGGGGCCGAGGGTACCAACGAGTCCCAAAATCTAAATTCCGATAGGAAATAGATAAATCGTTTCTTTTTTTCCTTTACTTTCCATTCCTTAAACTTCTCTTAACTCAACCGCTGGTATCCTTCAGAGCACTTGAAGATTCATTTCTCAGTTTCTTTTTTTTTTCAGGGCTGGTATGCCAAACCAATTGAGCATTCACTAAAAATCTCTAATCATTGCTGTTCTGCTTCCAGCTCTCAGCATTCACTTGACCACTTAGGGGCTTCAATGGGCCCAAATCATTTAAGAAGTGAGTTGCTGGCAGCAGGTGATAACAGCCATTCTGAGATGTTCATTTGGAATTTATGCTGATCTGGTCTTTTGATGAGGAGACAAGTGAGACTTTTTTTTCCCAGTCATCGAAATGAGCCTTCCAAAGTAAGAGTGTTTCCATCTCTTTCATTCAGCTGGGTCTGAAGCAGGACATGGGTAACAGAGACAATAAATTATATCTAGCAAAACATTGTTGGATCGAGTGAGCTGACTCTTGAAAATAAATAGCATGTAGCATAGCAAATTAGCCTTTCCATGAAATATTTGTCGACACAGAGGCCCATTAGAAAAGCAAAGAAAAAATTAAAACAAATCCTAGATGATAAATTGTTGCACTCGGCCTCTTGGCCTAGACATGATAAAAGGGGAAAGTTTATAAGTGCCACTTCATCATTGAAATGGGCATTTGTCGTTCCTGACTTGTGAACTCTATATGTGGTTACATGGCAGGGATGTGATCTATCACACCTGCTGGGTGATAAGCCCTGAGAAAGAATGCTTCATTAAAAAGGAAATTTTGCTTTCTGCTGAGTTTCATTGCCTTTGGTAAAGTGAACTACCTTAGGAGAAAACAAAAGATAGCAGGGTGGCATTTCTCTCCTTTTATATAAGACTGCTTGATATAAAATAGTTCCTCAGACTCTTTCTTTCCCATACCCAAGGAGGCCAGTCGAAGAAATTGCACTTGAACTCACTTTACATCTGGACACGTGCTAACACCTAGGGTAACATGTCTAGGTCTCAGGCCACATTCTGTAGCTTTATTTGAGCTATAGTATGGTCTGGTGGCTTGCTTGCCAAATGGGGTGAATACAAAGATATTTCAATAATAATTTTAAGAACCCTTTCCTCCAGGAAGATTTGGAACTGTACGAATCTATTGCATGGTTTTGCCTACCCTGACGTCTCGATGCCCAGCTTTGAAAGAAGCTTCCTTGGAGGTGCCGCCCCACGTGCGAGACTGTCTTGACTGAACTTGGCACTTGAGTACCATCGGACAAATATCATGGAAGGCTTTTATTCTTAAATTAATAACAGATATAATGCCTCCCAGTAGTTAGTGTCGTTGCCATTTGACTGACAGTCAGTTAGCAGAGATCAGGCTTATGTGAAAATGGAGGATAGGAACAGCAGGTCACCAAATGGAGAATGACTACGTCATTGTAGAACAGCCAAAGCAGGTCACCGTAGAACCACTGAGAACCATGGCGCAGCCAAGTTGACACATAAACCCTAACCATCGCTTTCACCTCACTCCTCAGTATTTGTTATTGTTCTGTTTGCCTCAATGCACAAAATAGCCGGATAGTAGATTTTTGACTGTTGTCACCAATGTGAAATGCCAGATGAGAGAGTTGATAAGTGAGGAGTGTCATTGGAAAGAAAAAAAAAGGAAAACTTCTATTGATGTTGTATGACACTTCTTAGTCTTCTAATTAAAGTGATCCATTAAATCTATTTTTAGGATTACTTTTCTTTTGGAAAAGAGTCCTGTTAGTGCTGCTCAGTCAGCGTTGGTCTGCTAACTTCAAGATCAGTGTTTCACATCCCCCAGCAGCTCCGCAAGGAGGGACCCATCCTGTGATGAGTTGGAATTTGCTCCATGGTGATGGCTTTGTTTAGGGAGAGTCTTTGGAAGCTGTTAACTTAAATGCTAACAGCTCTTAGAGCATATTTAACTGTAAGGACAGTCAAATGTCAGACTTTACAGCATATTAAATTGATTCATCATTTTTTTGAGAGATAATAGAAATTACAAAGTAGTTTTATTGGCATATATTTTACATGTCATACAATTTAATCATTCAATCATATTAAGATGAGTTATGTAATCATCAGCAGAATCCAATTTTAGTACTTTTTCTTCTTGTACACATTGTTAAGAGCTCCCCTTCCCCCACAGCTTCCCCTGCCATCCTCCCCAAATTATGAGAATTACCTAAAGGTGACAAAGAGATGTGAAGTAAGTACATGATTTTGGAAAATTACACGATACAATTGTTGATATAAGATTGCCACAAACCTTCAATTTATCACAAACAATATCTATGAAGGACCATAAAGCAAAACACAAAGCACAACAAAATAAGATATGCCTATAACTTTAAATATCTTGATAACTAAACAAATAACCCAAAAAGGCAAACCTGTTGCCATCAAATCAATTCTAACTATATAGTCCTTCATTTACTGAGTAGACTTGTCCCATAGAGTCTTCTTGGCAGTAAACCCTTCAGATTCATCATTTTTTTAACAGAATCTGTTTGGTTTCATATTAACTGACTTCGTAAAGAAATGTTATGTGTACTTTTAAAGTGGCATTTAGTGATCATTGTATTTATTTACATTTTTATAAGCTTTTTTAAAATGTAAAAGTATGCATATTCATTGTAGAAAAATATCATACAAGGAAAGAGAACTCACTCATAATGTCATTGCCCAGACACACATTGGTGAACGTTACCCTGTCGACACTCTCTGTGTATATTCTGTCAGTCTTCTCCACCTCCCCTCCAACCATCCCCATTTATATGTGGCCACTAAATGTTTCTATTTCAGTTTCCCAAGGAGAGGCAAACCATTTTATACATGTTCTTTTGCATATTTTCCCACTCAATAAACATATTGTGAACATTTTCTATGGTGCTAGATATACTGGGACATAATTTTATTGCTTGGAAAAATATAATAATGTGTTATTAATATTAGAGTTCTGGCTTCCTATAGTGCTTCCTTCTGTTCTCTTCTATTGCCTTTGTAAGAAAGAGACCTTGTGCCTTTGTGCGAGTCAGGCTGCTAGAATTTTTATTTTGAACACAAGGGTAGTGAAAATATTGAAACAAGCAGCTGGAAGATGCTGGTTCCTTTTCAGAGCTTGATTACATCATTGAGGCTCTTAGCTCCTTTCATCTGAGTCACCGGGTCATCTCTCTTAGAGCTGGAGGGAATGCATGAGCACCCGACTAACAATATATTCTGCATATTTTTTTAAAGGACATTGATAGGAAGTTGCTCAGACAATTCTACTTCCTAGGAAGAGGAGGTGGGTTGGAAACAACTAGCTTATAGATTTCTGGTTGATAGATCCCCTTTATCTCTATAGGTGAGTCGCTTTGACATTCGGAGTAGTACTCTGAAGTAGTAAGTACATACAATTTTTAATTAAAAGTCAGCTTAAAAGACAAATTCACACGGGCCGAAAGCATATGAGTAAGCATAGAAGGAGTGATTCTGTGCGCTCACAGATTCTGTGATTGTGTTAGAGTGAGGTACAATCTACAGTAGAGAAAACCAGCAGGAGCCAAGAGCATGCTTATCATGAGGCAAAGGATTCGTAATGTTTTCTGAGTCCTCAAATGTGGTTGGAGGGAGGTACCGCCCCCCACCACTATCACAGGTTTGATAGGCACAATTGTGTGGTTGAGATATGTAAATATTATATTAAAGTCCTGGAGAGCATGAGAAATAGAAGAGAGAGAGAAATAATGCAGTCCGACACATTTCATGGTAGCAATGCTCACCTCAGCCCCGCTTGGTGGTCCACGTGGAGAGAGGGGGAAGGGAAGGAGGACAAGGGGAAAGGGAACAGGGGAGCGAGGAAGGGAGAGGAGAGAGGAGCTGACCGGAGGTCAAGGGAGGAGCCGAGATAGAGCTCTTTATTACTAACCCAGGCCTATGTAACTGGGGGCGTGCAAGCCCACTAATTGCATACGTCACAGGAAGGGGTTACACTATAGGTTATGAGAGGGGGACAATCTAGGGCTATCCACGCAATAGGAAGGGGAGGGATTGGGGTATACATGTGACAAGATGGGTGGATCCTAGATTCAGGATGGCAGCTTAACTTTGGATGTCATGGGGCCGGTTTGATCTGTTTTCTGGATCTCCATAGGAACCATGATCAGTAGGGTGTAGGCCTCACCTACAGGAACCAAGCTAATGGTCGCAAACCTCAGGGAGAAGTAGTCCATTGTCCCCAGCAGCAGGGAGCAGGCCCACCCTGTGGCAGGGTGAGACAGCAGTCTGGCAGCCGATTACCTCAAGGGAAATAAATTTTGCTATTAGCTGCAAGCAGTGTCCTAAGTCTAACATATTTGGGGGAGACGACTTGGGAGAAATCTCTCTGTTTCCCACACTCAAGCACAGCTGTCTCAGGGGGAAAAGCAGGGAGGGCAGCAAGCATGGGGATGAGGAGAGGGCAAATTGTGACTGCGTTGTGGAGAGAGTGCACTACGGACAGGCGGGAACACGTCAGCCCTCGCTGAGAGTCATCCACAGAGGCAGCAGTGTTCAAGGCTCCGTACTGATTTCCGCCCCAAAGTGGCATGAGAAAGAATTCTAGTTCTTCACCGTAACTTTGTTGGAATGTGAAGTTTACTAAAAGTCGTGTGTGTGAGTGTGTGTGTGTGTGTGTGTGTGTGTGTGTGTGTGTGTGTGTGGTTGGGGCGGCGGTGGGCTATCTGGCAGCCATAGTGTGTGGACACAGACATCAGGCTTCTGTGAGGGCTTTGTAGCTGCCTCCAGTCAGGCACATGGGATTAGGAAATGAAATAATGAAATAATGGCTTCCCACCCAGAACGCTAATGGCTGGTTTTCTCCGGGCTCTCTCCCCGCTGGCTGGTGGTGGTCGCTTTCTACTCTCTTCCAGAGTTCTGTTGGAAGGTGCTGTCTTTTGTGTCTGACAGGATGTTGATCCAGGTGTGCCTGTACTTTTACTGTAAGTTTTTGTGGCGCTGTCTGAAATTTGTGATGAGGAAGCTGACGGGAAGATGTGAGCTGCAACGCATCTGCTACAGCAACAAGCCTGGAGCTTCCAGAACCATGAAAATCGGTCAGCAGGGCGCAGGGCACCGAGCGGGCGGCAGGGTGGGTTGGACTGAGGACGCAGTCTCGTGAGTTTTAGACATTGGTGCAGGGTAATTGTTGAATGAGCTTTTCTGTGGTTGCTTTAACAGAAACTTCGCTGAGGGGCTCCAAAAGCAAGGTAAGTAGCGTGGCTTCTGTATTTCCAGCAACTTTTCACTCCATCTAAAAGCTTTTTATTTTTATTGGGGGCTTATACAACTCTTATCACAATCCACATAGATATCAATTGTATAAAGAACATTTGTACATTCGTTGCCCTCATCATTCTCAAAACATTTGCTGTCCACGTAAGCCCCTGGCATCCCCTTCTCATTTTTGCCCCTTCCTCCCCGCTCTCCCCTCCCTCATGAACCCTTGATAATTTGTAAATTATTATTTTGTCATTTCTTACACTGTTCGATGTCTCCCTCCACCCACTTTTCTGTTGTCCGTCCCCCAGGGAGGAGGTCACATGTAGATCCCTGTAATCGGTTCCCCCTTTCCAACCCACTCTCCCTCCACGCTCCCAGTATCACCCCTCACCCCACTGGTCCTGAAGGGATCATCAGCCGTGGATTCCCTGTATTTCCAGTTCCTATCTGTACCAGTGGACATCCTCTGGTCTAGCCAGACTTGCAAGGCAGAATTGGGATCATGATAGTGGGGTGGTGGTGGGGAGAAGCATTTAGGAACCAGAGGAAAGTTGTATATAGAACTTTTTTTAAGGAACAAAAATATATCCCGATTATGAAAACGAATGAAAAATGGGAAGAAAGAATTGCTTGTCACAAGCCACAGTTAGTTCGATGTGAGGGCAATTGCTGGATGTGGATTTCTAATCAGATTTGTGAGGCTTTTGTTCGTTTTAAATCAATCCGCTTTAGACTAAGGTGACCAGACGTCCCGCTTTTGGTGAGACAGGCCCAAATTTTAACAATTTTTCCCGTGTCCCACGGCATTTTTTAAAAGTCCCAATTTTTTGAAAGAAGGCACGACAAGCTAAAGTATACAGTTTTTGGCTGCCATGCGGCTATTTTGCCAGGATATGAGTTTTATCAATGGTGTCCCGATTTACCAGTGTTAAAATCTGGTCACCTTACTTTATACCTCTCTCAAAATCACGACATAAATATCCCTTGAAAAGACACACATCGTGGAGCTGAAAAGAATAACCCTGACGTAAACCCACAGTAAGAAATAGGCTCTTATGTCAAGACTGTAGAACACAAGTCTTGGGGCCACATATTTAGTATTTCTCTCTGGTATTCCCTTAATCTCCAAATAATTTCATTTTCCTCTCAAGACCTTCCAGCATAACTAAACAGGCCACTGTGCTGCTTCTGTGGCACCTAGTTGAGCACGCACAGACAGAAATGGCATCTGGAGTTTGGGGGCATTTTTTTGACTTGTGAGGATTTTGTTTTATTATGTATTTAAGGTATCTTTAAGTATACCCCCCCACACACACACACACAAACACCTACTTGTACCTCATTCTTTAGTCAAAGATACACTGTATAGACTTGAGTATAAGCTGACCCAAATATCAGCCGGAGCGCCTAACTTTACCACAAAAAGTGCATTAAAAATGTGCTGAAAAACTCAGCTTATACACAAGTATATACGTCAATGCCCATTAACAATGGAAACCTTGTGGGATGAGGAAAAGAAAAAACATTTCAATGAAAGTAACTTGAAACAGATGAAAGTGGTGAAAATAACAAATTGGGAAGGAAAAAATATCCCCCCTCAGAATGCCATCTCTAGTCTTGTCTCAGGCTAGTTGTCTTAATCAGGGAAGTTGCCTCTCCCCTCAGTGGTGAAAATGTCAGATGTTAATTTTATTAGAATTCAAGAAAACTTCATCCATTTTTGCTTTTAGTTTTGTTTTTGTTTTTTTTTTAAATCTTCATGTGGAGGATTACAGCAAATATTTGCAGCCTGCATCCAAGCAGGCCTGGCTCAGCGACTGGTGCGCGCGGCGAGAGCTGATGGAAACATGTTTTTCAGCTGCTGCAGACTTCCGTGAGCGTGCACCCGGATGCCATTGAGAAAACCATAGAAGACATCATGGAGCTGAAAAGGATCAACCCTGACGTAAACCCGCAGTAAGAAATGGGCTCTTATGCCAAGAATATGGGACACACGTCGTGGGGCCACATATTTAGTGTTTCTCTCCGCCTCGCATAAATCACCTGCAGTGTTTGGGTTTTCAGAGGACGAACAAAGAGACAGGAGCGGCTTTGTAACTGGCAGCAACTTTATACTTCGGTTGAGATTTATGTTTATGCTTCTGCAGTGTAATGAGTGCAGGGAATCGGGTGGATGCCCTGATACTGAAAGATGGCACAGAAGGAGCCCATCCATCAACAGCCACTCCATGCAGCGTCCTGAGCCGACTCTGCCCCAGCAAGACCATTCCCTCTGCTCACGACAGGCTGACACAGCTAGAGACGGTTCCTACCTGCTTGTCAAGCAGACAAGCTTGTGTGGGAGGGAGAGATGGCTTTTCTATGAGACTTTAGAACTTTGTAATTCAGTCAGCTCGTCTTGGAAGTATTAAAATGCATTTGGCAATGTGCATGACATTTAAAATTAGCTGTATGTTTTCTCTTGGGTAGAGCAATTTTTCAGTTAAGTTTTGGGTTAAGAACATTGGAGAGAATGAATTCCAAGTGCAGATATATTTAGAGATGGCTTAGGTAGGTAGCAATCAAAGTGTCTTTTAACTGTGCATGCATTGAAACATCAAATGCTACCACCGAGAGAGGCGTTTCATTGCCCCGAACAGGTGCTGTCCTTGACGAGAATTTCAGAGCTCACTCTGCACGCTTGTGTCTGGAAGGGACTCTCAGTATCAGCTAAGCAGGGCTCCTCACAAAGCTCCACTGCGGTCTGCTTGCCACCGCACGCGTCTGCAGCCACATCTGCTCCGTCCCTGGCCTCTTCCATATTGAACTATTAACGACCGATGGAATCATATAGTAGTTGTCTTTTTGAAAACTTCTGACAGGTTGTATTCCTCTGGCAAGTGATAAGAGGCAGTTTCTTTTAAATTAGATTGAGCCACGATTTTGAGACTGTACCTGGGCATGAGGAATAAGGGACACTAGTCTTAGGGCCACACGTTTAGTATCTCTCCCTGCCTTGAATAATCCTAGTTAGAGATTAGATTAGATTTAAGCACAAACCTTTTCTGTGGGTATTTTAGGGAAGTTATATGATAAATTTCAGTCTTTCTGTTTTCCTTAGGGAAGACAAAAACCTCTTTCTATTGTGTTTTACGTCTTAGCATATATTCTAATGTGTTGTTTTTTTCCCCAGACTGACATTGACAAGCTCTGGCTTTAAACATTAAATACTTTCCTGAAAAACAAAGATATAGGAGGAAGGGGTGGGAGAGACATTTTATAATTTATCATAATATGCTACTATTACGCTCACTTTCTCTTAAAATGGTCCTATGATGGTGGTAAAAATTACTGTAGTGAAAGAATTGGCCTTTCTTGATCCCTCTTTTATTTCTCCCACTCTCTTTTTTTCCTCAAAATGATTCTCTTCTCAGATTTACATTGATTTTTCTGCATGACCAATGGCACTGTACTATTTTCCTAAGTTTGAAGTATTTGGTTTACATAACTGTCGGATCTCTGGCTTACCTGGTACAATCTGCTGTCCTACAGAGGCCTGGGGGAGCTCTGGGTTAGGGCTCCGAGGGAGAAGAAGGAGGCTGCCTGCAGTCTCAGAAACCCTAGAGAGGGTCCTTATGAGGCAGAATTGACTTGATGGCAGTGGAATCCTCTGTCTGGACTAGATTTATTATTCCAACTCCAATATGCCCAGCGTAAAAAAAATCATACATGTCATACAATTCAATCATTCGGTCATATCGAGAAGAGTTGTGCAACCATCATCACAATCAATTTTAGAACATTTTCTTCTTCCTTTGATTACTATTGTTAGCTCGCCATCTTCTCCCAATCTCCCCTGTCATGTCCCTAGGTTATTACCCCAGTTACTGTCTTTACAGATGTGTCTATCTTGGATTTCATATACAGAAAAACATACAAAACAAAAACAAGAAACAGACGTAAAACCCAACATAGATGACAAAGTAAAGAGGAGGAAAACTTCAATTGAAAAGTGTGTTAGACAGAAACAAAACCAGAATGCTAATAATTTTATATATATTTAGATAACATAAGAAATAAACAGTTAATTAAATTATAAAGCAACACAAATGGCTCAGTACAACCCACTCTTGTACAGGCACTGGCAGTCCTTCAAGTCTTGTGAGACAGTTGTGAGACACTGGCAGTCCTTCAAGTCTTAAGGGCCGCCGGGTAGTCCACTGTAGAGCAATTCAGGCTATCCGGGCACAGGCAGCAAACAGCAAGGCAGGTCACCAACAGTCAGCCAGATGACAGGGTCCCAAAGTCCCCAGCTCAAGAGATGTAAATTCCAATGGTGTGGCGAAGCGGGTCTTGAAGGAACCTCAAATTACAGTGACACAGTCCACAGGTTAGGTGTCCCACAGGTAGTGCAGCTTGCAAGTGGAGGCACAGAATAAGCAAGGCAGCCGCACACTGGTCCGATGGTCAAAGAGCAAGAGACAAGAGAGACGAGGCTCGCCAAGCCATTTATCTCTCCGCTCTTCAATTAAATCACATGTGTTCATTGGCCATGTGGCACAATAAAAGTTAACTATCTCAAAAAGAAAGCAGAAAATATTAAAAATTGGAACACATTTAAAGTGGGTCAAAAGGGAGATCAAATGATAAGGTGGTACATTTTAACCTAACTGCATCTGTTATAATCGACATTACAATGCTCTCTGTGTGATAGCAAGGCTATTCACATCCCTGGACTATATTCAGAGGGAATTCACCAGAGGCTTAATTCACATGGGAACCCTGCAAACTGCCAGTTTGAAGCAGTAGAACCCTGCTTCTACAGTCATCTATAGCCTTCTGCAACTGGGTATTCAGATTGTAAGGTCTAATACCATTCCTTCCTCTAGATTTGAATTTTGTTATTTATTGTCTATAATTAATAGATAATAGATCACACCAGCGGTATATGCTTCTGTTGTGTGCTCTTGGTTGACATCTGCGTCACTTAGATTACTGCTTATTTTAAGACCAAGGCTTTAAAGTCACAAACACTACTCTGTTTGATAGCCTGGCTATCAGAGAGCATTGTGAAGTCGATTATGGCAGATGGAGTTAGGTTAAACTGTAATACCATATCATTTGTTCTCCTTTCAACCCATTTTGAAGCTGCTTCAGTGTTCAATATTTTCTGTTTTTCTCTTTGATGCTTTGTCTAGCCATTGTTGTTTGTTTTGTATACTTGTGTTTTGTTTTGTGTGAGTTTCTGTAAATGAAATCCAAGATATGTAGCTCTATAGAGATTGTAGCTGGATATGGAAGTATATGCCAGTAAAACCATGTTTAAAGAAGAATGAAAGTTATTAACCAAATAACGTACATCCAGAACAAACTAAGCAAGACAGGAAGCATCTGAAGACCATGGCCCATGAGAGACTTGGAGGAATAGGGAATTTTATTATTATTACCTTTGAGATGTCAGAGATAGAAAGAATTGGCATCTTAAAATCAATTCGCATGGTAAGGAAAAGGTGGAAATAAATACATTGAGTGTAGCTCAGAGGAGAGAATTTAAGCCATACTTTCCCAAACAAACCAAGTCATCAGAGTGGAATGGGAAGTTCTACAAAGTAGTGAGTTCTCTCCCTGACAAGCCGAATCTGTTTCCCAAACCAGACACTCTCTGCTACCAAATTTATTCTGACTCACAGCCCCTCTACCTAAGGTCCCTGAGGAGGCCCTCACAGTCAGCAGTCAGTGCCTAGCCCACCAGGACTCCCAGGCAAAGCCTTTTTGGTTTGTTTTGTAAATCTTTTTTTGCCCTAAGCACCAAAGGGTTATTTAATCATCCCTCTGGGATGAGTGAACACCTGATAATTACAGCAGCCATCAAGTCAATTCTGACTTACTGCCTTTCATGTACCACAGAAGAAACATTGCCCACTGCTCTGTCTGCCCCCGAATCTCTGGCTTTGAGTGCGTGACCGTGGCTCTTGTGTCACTGCATCTCACCAAGGGTCTCCCTCACCCTCTGCTTCACCAAACACGGTGTCCTTCTCCAGTGATTCACTTTTCCTGATGATCTGGCCAAAGCAATCCAGCTGGACTGTGGTCTATTGTGTTCCACAGATTTTTCATTGGCTACTTTTAAACAATAGGTCACCAGGACTTTATTTCTAGCTGGTCTTAGTCTGGAAGCGCCACTCAATCTTGTCCACCATAGGGGACCTTGCTGCTATTTAAAATACCCATGTCAGAGCTTCCAGCACCACAGCATCATGCAAGCACCACAATATGAAAAACTGATAAGTGGGGTCTGCATGAGCCCTAAGAACCCATTGCTAACTATATTTTCTACAAATGACTGTCAAGTTACCTATACATTGAACTTCCTTGTTTTCAAGTCACACCGTTGCAGCTTTGCTTAAGAAAAGGCCTAGAGATAAATTTTAGCTAGTTTGTACAACTGTCCAGGTGGAGTTTCAGCAAGAAAAGAGTTTCTATGAATTATATCCTATTAAATATATTTGCTTCCATTACAGGTTTTATATTATACTATATTATATAACATGTTATATTGTACATTTCTATTAAATATGTTTGAGCAGTTTGATGGATAGCGTAAAAATTTGAACAGTTCTGAGCACACATCAGTGAACAAATGTCAGAGAATGTTTTTTCCTCATGTGTCTTTCTTCCATTTTTGAACATCTTAGGTTGGGAATCTCTCTTCAAGCTTGCCTCCTGCAAATTGTTGGGTACAGAAACCTTATTGCAGACGTTGAAAAACTGCGCCGAGAACCGTATGATTCTGAGAATCCCCAACACGAAGACATGCTTTTGAAGGTTAGTGTGTGAATACACGTTCGGCATGTGGCTAGGTCTGGTCACGTTTGCCAAGCCCCTGTGCTCTGTGCTGAGCTCTGAGCCAGACGTTGCAGTACAAAGAAGACAGGAATGGACCCCAGGTCGCTGAGAATTTGAGAAGGTGTGGTTCTCTTGCAGATCTGGATATCGGAGGTGACGTTTCCGTGAGAAAATGCATGTGCCAATGGAGCTTACAGCCTCTGGTCATCCCAGAAAGCACCAGGGGCGACTTCTCTGGGCTCTGGCATTTGGTTCAAGTTTAGATTGTTTAACATATGCTAAAAGCCAGTTAGGAGAGAGAGATAGCATTTGTCAAGTAGTGACCTGGGATTTTCATTTATGACTTTTAATACACATCAAAGAAGATGAAGTTGGTTTCAGTGTTGGCAATAGCCCTCTTGGGAAATTACCCGAGATCTTAATGGTGATTACTTATTCATGATAACTTGGAGAGGAGGTAAACATTTATATCTGACATCGTTGAATTGTTAGAAGAATAATACAGAGCTACAAATCCTCCTTTTGGCTATCAAAGCAAAACCTTAAGGCGCTTATATGAGTATGATGATATGTATTCTATAATATACAATGTTGAAATTTTACCTCAAAACATTGAATTTTGAGCTCCCCCTCAAAAAAACAACCAACTTTTAGAACTACTCATCTGAAATATTTCATCATTTCACTTTGACACTCGATGCTTTTAGGACAGAATACTCCTTGTCCTTCCATGGAATGCAAGGTGGCAGTAACAAAATATGAAAGAAACGTTTAAGCTGCCTTTATTTATTTAGTTAGTTGGAAAATGTCCATAGAAGCTGTCATTCAAAAGTAGGTCCCGTTGTGTTTTTATGTAAAGGAGAACGTGTTTTTGTATAAGTACTGAATCAGATGACTCATTTTATCCCTGCTAATTAGTGCTGGGTCTGAGGTGCCTCATTAAAAATTCAAGAACCCTCCTTCTTGGCAATAGTTTTTGTGTCTCCAATTCTTTTTTTTTTTTCATTTGAATATTCTTTTGTTGTTGTTGTTGTTGTTGTTTTTGTAACTAATCATTTTATTGGGAGATCTTACAGATATTATAATAATCCATAATTCAGTTAGATCAAGCAAAATTGAGGTTGCAAATCGTGAGCCCTCTTACTTTGTTTGTT